CGCGAAGCTGCTTGAAGCTTCGTCCATGTCCGGCACCCCAAGTATAGTCGACCGAAACTCGCTACTGATTGACTACGTTTGTGGGACATAGCGGGTCGTCAACGAAGCGGTCCCTATGACTGCTGTGCCATCAAGGGCATTATCTTGGTACCACAGAAAAGCGCAACCTAAAACAGTGTCCCGAAACCTGAGAGAAAATGCGGTAACATTTCTGGAGTCTTTCTGTTTGTAGATGGGACACCACAACCTTGGTTCCCAAACGCCATAAGTGACTTCAAGCATGGGATCAACAAGCAGAAGCGCACACAAGCAACACCAACGGCGCAATGTCCATCTTTTGCTGCAGAGGGCATGCAGCACTCACCAAATGACCGTTGGACCAAACACGGCGAGTCAAATGTTGACCAAAGCTCAGAGCGGTTTTTCACAATATCCAAACGGCCAATTTGGGGTGAATGTCCCCATATTTTCCAGGGCTCCTTAAAAGATCTCTATTTTGTCACCATTTGAAACATGTGGCTTTTTCAACACCAACATAAATGGAGTTGCCACCATTTACAAGTTGCAATGTTCAGGTGGATCTATTGTAAGGATCCCCATATTTTCCCATTCACGCGAGCGCAAAAATCTTTGGGGCATCGAGCCTTCAAGCCTCAAGGTCTTCGTCCTAGGGTTCTGCCAGCAACAAGAAGTTAACAGGACTCACTTGCGAATTCTGTGAAAGAACTTGCGTCAGTTTTTGGGTTTGGTTGCCATTTTGGTCAAGGTCAAACTGGTTTTGGCCAATCCGGTGCTCGCCGCCCTGCAGGGAGCGCAGCAGGATGTACTGAAGTCGTTGGGGCCCTCCCGGATCAGCGGCTGGTTGTAGTCGAAGTCCTTTCTGGGGGCGCAGGCCCAGGTGCGAGTAGTAGTGCTGCCCCGCGCGGGTCAGCTGCCCGTCCGCTCGCGAGAGCAGCGCGTAGGCCCGGGGCCCGCGCCGTAGGTTCAGCACGATGGCTCCATCCGCCCCCGCGCGAGCCCTGGCGCCGCCGTCCGCGGCCTCCGAAGTTTGTCATCGTTGTCTCGCCCAGCTTGCCATTCTCTTTTCACGGGCCTTTTTTTTGTCGGTCGGTTGGCCGCGCCGTGCTTTGCGTGGATCGTGGGCTGGCGGCCCGGAGGAGAGCCTTTTTGCTTTTTAGGGCTGTCCTTTGTTTCTCGTTTGACAGAACTCCGGATGGGCTGGTGAGGAGTGGGGTCAAGGCGCAGAGGGTTCTGTTGTTTTGTCACGTCAAAAAGATGCTTGTTGACAGGTTGGACTGGTGAGGAGTGGGGTCAAGGCACGTTCACGTGAGCTTTTGCGTGCTCATGTTGATGCGGCGTCCCGTGACAGGTCAGGGCAACTGGTGGGGGAACAGCGGTCGCGGCCATCGGAGGCCAAGGACTGTGGTTGGCTGGAATGTGATGTCATGACATTTGTCCGTTGCAAGAGAAATGAAACCTGGAAACAAGAAACACACGGAGGAGAGGGTCGAGGAGGCTCTCACGTTTTTCCCACGTGGCTCCATTCGTCGCGAAGAGGGCGCTTGCAGGCACTCCTCGAGGCTGTGGAGAAGAAGGGCCTGGAGCTGGTAAGGTGGAGTCCTTTCGTGCGGAGCTCCAGCGTGTGAATGGCACAATTATGTGATCATGGCTCTGTGCTGTACCCAGCTTGAGCTCCGCCGCGCCGAGCTGCAGAAGGACGTGACCCGTAAGGACACGGAGATCACGCGCCTCAAGGCCGAGCCGGCTCCAAGAAGAGCTGGAGAAGGCACGTGCCCCCGTTTTGAGGAGTGGCCTCACGACTAACTACAAGATTCCTGGCAGGCTACCAAAGGTCGGAAGAAGCCCAAGACGCAGCTTCAGCAGGTTGAAGAGTTGGCATTCTGTTGGAAACCGTCCTTTGAATGTCTCTCACGAGGTGCGTGATCCGAAAGCTTGCATGCCCGAGCCAACGGCCGGAAAGAACGACTGCCGGGCAAAGATGGCCAAACATGCTTTCGCCTAAAAACAAAAACAAACTCTTGAGGCCGGCTTCAGAGGAGGTTTCGAGCGACTGCAGGGGGCAACAAATTAACTCGCTCGAACTTTTGGCCGGTTTCAAAGGCGGTTGCTTGGATGTCCGTGTAAAAGTTGCTTAAACTTCCGCCGCCAGCTTCAGCGGCTGCAGCGTGGTCCTGGCCACCCACACCGTGGGGGCAGTGAGCGTGGACGGCTACACCCTGACCCTGGCAGTGAACCCGTGGAACATCGTGCGCACCTAGAACCTGACACCCGGCCGGGAGCTCCTCTTCGCCTGCCAGTATCGCCTCGGCACGGCCTCCAACTTCGTGGTGTACATGTCCGAGATCTCGCTGGCACACGACCTGGACGATCCACTTGAGTACGTCGGTGGCAGAGTCCCCCGTCATGATCCATATCTTCTTTACCAGCACTTGTGTCCAGTGTCCGAGAGGATTTTGAAGATCTCGTGCACTCGGTACGGCATGCTGACGTGGGCCGCGGGTGTGGGCGAAAATCCCATGATACGTTGGCGGGGATGTGAATGCCTTCATGACGTAAGCGTGGTGCTCCCGCCACCGGTTGTCCTTGGCATTCCAGAGCTCCAGCGTGCGCGTGTCTGCGTCCTTGCAGATCACCGCCTTGGCCGCCTCGAGCGCGCTCTGCACCGAGAGCTGTGCTTCAGCGTGAAAGCGAACTCACACAGCACTGACTTGATCTCGCTGCGCAGCAGGCCCAAGTCGCCCTCGAACTCCAGGCGTGCTCGTAGGCGAGCACGTTCCCGTCCAACTTCTGGACCACATTCACCACCCTGTCAATCAGCTCCCTCTCCTGCGCGGTGTTCAAAACGTAGCAGAGGAGCTCGCGGGGTCGGGCTGTCTCGTCTCGCAGCTTTTTCAGCAGGTAGCGGTTCTTCGAGCAGTCCTCGGCGACCAGAGCTCTCACCGTCCGGCTGGTTGGACCCCCGGGAATATCCAGGTCAACTCCGGGCATCCCCGGGCCCGGACCCCCTCAGAAACCCTTAAGCATCGGGAGCCTTAGGGCAGGTGTGCTGGACCTTGAGGATTCAGCACGGCAGGTCCTGCCTCTGTTTTGCCTCAGGTGCTCGCAGGACGGGTCGCTTGTAGGCGCAACATCTGCGTCAATTCTTTTGCAGCCTTTACTTGTGTGCCACCACTTCTTTTTGCTGAGGGTGAGGCATCATGACATCGTGCTTCTTATTCAGCATGTTGACATTTGTTGAAACGCGTTCCCAATTATAGGGTGAACATGCCTAGAGACCTCTTGTGATACCAGAGAACCGCTTGTGAAGGCCAGAAGCGATAAACCACATACCACCCGCAGTGATTTTCCCCCATCCGCGCCTGGCATGCTTGGAATTCAGCTGCGTAGACAAGTACCGGGTCTGCAAGCCACGCGCTGGACGTTTCCAGGTTTGGGCCGGGGTTGGGGGGGGCAGAAAGAGGGTCGCAAGGAGGCCGAGGGGTGGTGGGGTGGGGGGGGGGGGGGAGGGGAGGTTTTTGGTCCCTAGAGTCCTAGAGACTTGAGAATGCACAAAGGCTTGAGGACTTGAGGTGTCTCTGGGTATACTTGAGGTGGCACAAGCGCAGAAGGAGTTCATTTCCTTTGGCCCCCACGTAAAGGACCTTTTGATCAACCCCCACATATACATACATACATAATATGTTTTTATGTATATATATATATGTATAGATACATATATGTATATATATATATATATTATGTATTTTTTGGTGGTCCCCCCCCTCCCGTTTGGGTATCCCCCCCCGCCCATTTGGGTATCCCCCAAAATGGGTACCCTCCAAACACGCTCAGCCATAGAAAGTCCGGAGTCGATTTTTGCGAGGAGCTCAGGCGCGTGTCCTGGTGGTGGATATTGGAGATGGCTTGGAGGACAAGATGGAGCCAGACGACATGCAGGCGAAACTTCCATTTGCTGAAAATATGTTTTTTGTTATTTCCCCCTTTTGGTTTTACAGGGTATCTATCACTATTGAAAATATGATTATTTTTCCCGAAGGCTTAGGCAAATGGAGGGAAACGTGGCCTTGTGGCCTTTTCTTCTTTTTGGTTGTGCGGTTTCCCTGCAACATCTACCAAACAGATGCCTGTTCTCGGGTGTAGTTTCCAAAGGTCGACCCGTTGACTCCGCTTTTCCAACTTTAACCAAGCCTGGAGATTTGCAATGGCCTGTGGCGGCCCGAAACAATGTCATAGCTCATCTATGCTTGGTTCAACATGTATCACAAAAACTAGAGGGGCCACCCGATGGTCCCATGTTGGCGAGACATGCGTAATTTTGTCCGGAGCTCATATTTGATTTCCCAACATGTTGACGGGTTTCTAGAAGTGCGTTCCCGAGTCTCTCACGTTTCTCGCATCCCAATTCATGGATTTTTCCACATTTTTCTGGAGGAAGTGAGTATGCCGCTTGAAAATTGGGGGGCGCAGCACCTTGCGGGTAATATCCTTCTCCGCACCCCATGGACCTCATGCCGCAAAGGTCGCAGGAAAACGGCACACCCGGACCCTTGGCGTTCTGAGTTGCCAGGGGGTCGGGAACAACCCTCAGCTCCACTTTAAGACCTTCATGAACCTCACCCATCCTCTTGGAGAAGCTTCCTTCAAAACCTTTCCAAGGGGGTGGATTTCGTGGAGGGGCTTTGGTTTCCTCTAGGGTTGTGTAAAGGACAAGTGTTGGCCCTCTTGAACAGCACTTTGCTTGTCTGATGCAAAGGATACCATTGCGAACATGCGATTTTGACGAGCCTTATAGCCCTGCATCTGGCAGTGAACCCGGTTCGAATAAACACCCATGTTAACACACGACTCCATGCTCACACTGGGCTCACTGATTTTCGCCTTGAACAGTTGCAGTTGACTGGTGGTGTCCATTGAAACTGCCAATTTTTCAGTCTTCAAAGGAACAAATGGAGAAACCCCTGTACCACATCCCAAAAAAAACGGCGTACTTTGCGGAAAAAAAACGCCACCCCCAGCGGGTTTTCTGGCCTGGGCCCTGAGGGGCCCGTGGCCCGTGGCCCAGGTGGCGTGTGCTGCCCCCACGCTGGTGGATCTGCGTCGCGAGACGCTGGACACGGTGTCCCAGCTCTTTCAGAGCCCCGGCGCCAACAGCTTGTTCCTGTTTAGCCGTGAATCCATTGGTGTCCCTGGTTTGTTGTCCTTGTCTTAAACGTTTCCGTTGGTTCATTGGTGTCAACCTGGTTTGGTTTCCTTTTTTGTTCTCCCTTTTTAATCGGTTCATTGGTTTAAACCTGGTTTGGTGTCCTGCATTTGTTTGTTGTGTTTTTAAACGTGTCCATTGGTTCATGGCTTCAACCTAGTGTGGTTTCCTTTTTTTTCCCTTACCTTTTGCTTTGTCTTCTTGCTGGTGCGATAGGTGGGGAATGACAACGAGACCGGGCGTTGGGAATGAACCGTTGAGAAAGGAAACCACAGGGGTCGCAGCAACCCATTCCCTGCCTGTCGAGCCAGCAATGTGTCTTTGTCAGTTGGATGGCTCGTCTGTTTCTCAGGGGACCCACCATTATGGTGCAGCGGTTGTCCTTTTGGTTTTCTTTCAATCCCACGAACAAAGGGGTACCCACAAAGAGGACGAGCCACCCATGTTTGTTAGTTGAATCCTGGTGTTAGTTTAGTTGGAATCTTGCAGGGCCCAGTGCTGGCTTTGTTTTAGTAGTTCGTATTTTTGAGGATCAGTATGTGCTTTTGGTTGTACTCATGCAGGCTCATGTTTGAGTTATCAATCTGAGTTGCTGAGAAGCGGGTGAGGTTATTTCAGCTTGTTTCGAGGTAGTTCTCATTGTGTCATCGATGTGGTTCCCTTTGAAGTCCATCAACCACGCAATTTTCGACCTTTGGTTTGGTCACTGTCAGAGAACGAAACCTTGGAGGAAACCGCGGAGTGCCCTTCAGGTAAAACGCATGGGCGGCTGAGTAACTGGGATCTTTGGCACTAAGCGCCCAGGCGGTAAGGGATATTGGAGGAAAAAAAACTCGGGCAGTAAGTGATACCTTTTTGGCATTGAGAAGGAACGTCGGGAAAAGGAGTTGGATTATTTAAATGGGAACATACTATTTTGCCTCGCTCGACAGTCTTGGGTCATTTGGTTTTTCTTTCCAGGGACCAAACTTCTACCCTTGTCAGGTTTTCCTGGATCCTTCAGGGTTCGCCTTGCACGTCAGGACCTTGGGCTCCGTCATAGACAAATCGGCCAGGGATGGCCAGGAGCAGTGTGGGAAGAACGGGCAGCTTGGCACTTTCTGTGATAAGACAATATTTTGAAAGAGAAATTAGTCGTGCTCCCCGAGTTTGGCTTGATTCTTGAGACCGTTTTGGTGGGTCGTCTTTTATTTGCTGAAATTAATATTGATTATTGTTCTTGTTGGTTTCAAAGGGAATCGACTTCACTATTGGAAACAAATGTTCTGATTTTTTCCAGGGGGCTTAATTCTGGAAATGGAAGGACACAACAAGGAAAACCATATCACTGTTGATTTTTGTTGGAAGTTCGGAAGTCCTCGATTGTTGAGACACGCCCTTCTGGGTGTTTATCAAAGAGTCCTTTACATGGGATGACCATGCGGGAAGACCATCAAACAGATTTGATCGTTCAACCACTAAATGGGACGAGGCACCCATAGTCATGGCCGGGGGCCATGAAAACAGAATAGTCATCAAGCACCACCCAAGAAACCCTGGTTTCTGATGATTCCCCTGGAATGCCAACAAACATGTTCTTCCATGGTTTCAAAGTGGTGCAGGATTCCGTCCATCCACCGTATTGCCAGTACTGGAATCCAGAAGCAAACCAGTCCAGTTGTTGTTTTACCCTTTTGACATCCGGCACCACTGGGTGTTTTTTTTTTGTTCCCCCGTTTTTGTTGAACCGACCCTAAGTGGTAGGTGAAAGGCCAACCTCGCCCCGCCTCGAACCGCCTCGAACCGCCAGGAGCGGTTCATGACCTTCATGGCCACAGGGCTGGCGCGACGCGCGGCGGCAGCCGGTCGTTCGGATGCTTTTGACTGTTCTTTGGTGCTCCATCCGGCTCCTGGTGTTTTTTTTGTTGGGTGGGGGGGGGGGGTTCAACCAGCATCCCGGCTCCGGAGTTTCTCTTTTTTTTTGGGGGGGGGGTAAGTGTTTCTTTTGTTGCTTTCTTTCTTTTCTTGGGAGGGGGGGGTAAGGTTTTTACGTACGTTGGTTTTGTTTTTTAGGTTGTGGGTTGGTTTAGTGGTTGGGTTTCCATTTAACCCACTAAAAGTGTTTTTTTAGCAAGGGATCTGAGGACAGCCCAGTTTTGGTTGCTTTGTGGCTTTGCTTCAATTGCCAACAATTGAATCGCTGCATCCCTGGGAGCGCAAACGCATTGAGCTCCGTTGTCCTTGTTTTTCTGGTTTCGAAACACGAACGAACAGTTTTTGCCCGACCCCCTGATATCCTTTTCGTTTCCTTGTGTTTTGTGTGTCCTTTAGCCCTTGTGTGTAATTAGTTGCAGTGGTCCGGTGCTACAATTCGGGGCTTGGTCCCTTTACCATCCCCCTGTGAAACCTGGCTGGAGGTCTTAGAAAGATTTTGGAAGCCAACGTGTCTGGATTGCAAGTAGAATGGCATGCTTGGGTCTTCGATTTGCCAAGTTAGGAAATGGTTAGCCACTAGTGGTTTTTCACCCCCTTGCACAGTTTACTCCACTTGAGTGGAGAAACACAAGCGGGTTAAAACCGAACGGTTTCCGTTACAACTTCCCAGCTAAACAAGTCGAAGACCCAAGTATCTTTCGACAAGACCATTTTGGACGATAACAGAACTTCCCTCCAAGTTGCCCCAGTTCCCATGCCCCAGTTCCCTTGTGTTAATTTTGGGTGATTTTTTGTTTTAGGCTGTCCGAGTTTTTTTTGTGTCCAAACCCGAGCCGGTGGATCGGTTGGATCGATCGGAAGCATCAGGAAGCCTCCTGCGGTTCCTCGACTTTGGGTACTTGATGGTCTCTGAGCTCTTTGGTTGTGATTGGGTGCATCTTCGGGAGTCCTACCAGCAGCTCTACGAGGATCTTGAGCGCCTTGCCTGCGAAATTTGTGGTCGATGGCGAGCTTACCAATGGTAGCTCCTCTGGCGGAAAGCAAACAACAGCAGCAGTTTTTTCTGGGGTTGGACATGCAGATTGCTGGACTTGAATGTCATCCCATACCTTAACTGCTGTAGCTGTCGATTTTGTTGAGAAGGCTTCACTTTAGAATCCGTTGACAAACCGCAGGGGTGCGAATTTTGGTCGGCATTCCTGGAGTTCTGACAAAGCTCCGCAAGTCAGAGGTTAATCATAGGTTGGATCCTTACATTGCAAGTGAAATCAGAGGGAGAGAGAGAGAGAGAGAGAGACTTACCTCTTAAAAAACACAACTTTTTAACTTTTTGGGTAACATGGGCTATATGTCTGTAAAAGATTAACTTCCCCAGGGCTTGGAGTTTTAAGGGGTAAGGAGAGCGAGAGAGAGAGAGAGAGGGAGACAGACAAACACAGTGGGGTGTGGACCTGGGGTTTCCCCGATCCAGATCTTTGACCCAAAGGCCCATGCCAGCTGACCAATTTGCAACCGGTTGGTGTAAGAGCAGGTTTCTGGGCCATTGGTTGCTTTTGCTCTTTTTTTTATCCAGTCAGGCGAGGAGCACTACCAGTCACAGCTAAATATTTAGCATGCGGAAGGACACCACTCGGGAACCTGAGAGAGCCACAACCAGCTCTCAAGGAGCCCTTTTTTTCATCCACTTACCTCATAAAATCACAACTTTTCAACTTTTTGGGTAACATGGACTATATGTCTGTAAAATATTAACTTCCCCAGGGCTTGGAGTTTTAAGGGGTAAGTCCAGCTTTTGGTTGCCACAAAGAATAACAGATGCCTGGGCTTGGAAGACTGGAGCCAGTGGGAACTAGCTCCAGTCGCGATTTTGTTTGCAAGTTGCAACCCATTTGGTTTGGGATTAAAAAACATGTACCACCCATTTGCCAGGGTTCCTGAATACCTATTGTGGATGGACAAAATCCATTTTGCACCACCTAAGAAACCCTTCAATGATTTGATTCCCCAAAGTAATACCACGAAACTTTATGGTTTCAAGCCCATGGATCCATTTCGTGGTGCGATTTCTGGATTTCGCGACCATCCACAGCTTACTTCCTGGGTTCCTGCACTTCATCATTTTTTGGAAAGACCAATTTGGTGGTAAACAGAAAGTTTGGACTTGTTTTTGGCCCGTCCACTCCAGAAGTGAATGACTACCAACAAACATGGTTTCCACCCCATGGCCCCATTTCGCAGTGAGATGTCCGGATTTCGGAACCATCTGCCATCCATAGGATATGTTTCACCGTTGGCCCGTGTCATTTTCGATCGAACGCCGGTTTTCAGGCGCCACATCGTGGCCTTTTGCGACCTCGTAGACTCCTCCATCTTCCTCTCCGAGTCCACGCTTCTGGGCGGTACGAGAAGGAGAGAGCGACCGGACCCGGATCGGCGTGCGAACTTTTTTTTGTTGAGATTCAAGGCTTCAGCCTTTTGTAAAGCCAGAGTTGCCTGAGGGGTACGATATGGTAGGATCAAACTTTGAACCAAAAACCACACAGAATCGCGTTAAAGAAAGCGGCCTTGCCAAGGAACCACATCCGCCACGAGGCCCCAGTCATGCCCAGCAAGCGCGACACCATCATCGCGGCACGGCAGGCACTGAAGGACAGTGTCCTTTGCATCCGGTTCCTTAGGCTCTTAGCATCTCTTAGCCCTTTAGCCCTTTAGCCCTTTAGTGCTTAGTGGTAGTCTCCATGTAACCCCACTATTATTATTGTTTGGCGGGACACCGGGTTCCAATCCTTTTCCTACCAGGGTCAGCTCAGGAAGTGAGATAGGCTCTTGGAGTTGCTTGGAAAGGACACCACATGTCAAATGGAACCAAAGAAAACCAAAGGAACATCACAAGTAGTTGAGTTCCCTTTAGTGGGGATTCCTTTCTTGTCATGGTACCACCTCAATTAAGGACTGGGTGGTTTACGAGTCAGGCCTCAGCAGCAATGTCAGATATGCGGAAACCATCAGGGAGAAGGATGTCCATATGTTGGCTATGTGCGAAGTAGGGTCCACACCAAATTGGAGGCAAGCGACCTGCCATGAGTTTTGCAGGTCTCCAACTCAAACATGAATCAAACCGCCCCTACGATTTGGCAGAGAGGAGTTGGACATTCCTGACCATGACCATTGTGGCAGAAAACAAATGCCCAAATGTATTTTTGCTGTTGATGTGGGCACATTCTTTCAGATGTCTTTTTGGTATGGCTACTGAGTCAAATCCGGAGCATCCTTTTTGAGAAGAGCGGTTCGAAGCAACCAAGCACCATGTACGAATGAAATGGAATGTGGTCGACGCCTTGTTTTGAAATGCGGGCTCCTGTGTGCAGTTGCCGCGCAGGGATGGCCCTATTTGGGGCCTCCTCTGTCCGATTCGAATGAGCGGCAAACATCTTGGCTGCCTCCTTGTTTTGCAAGCTCGCCTAAGGTCCTTCACTTGCAATTCCACCATGAAATCCTCCTGGATTTGCAAGTTCTACAGGGGGGTGGGTGTTGACTAACCAATTTCTGCAAGGGTTTGCAGTTGCCGAACCCATTTTTTTCCATAGGTGAAAGGTAATGTTAACACCCGACTAATCAGGGGTCGTTGAATAACTCAAAGTTGTTTTCCTTATTCTGGTTCGCCCCCATTGTTGATGGGGACCAGAATAACTGAAAGTTGTTTTGCCCGGGGGGGAGAATTCCTCAAAACATATCCACAAATCAATTTTAATTTAAAAAAGCATCTCCCCCCCAAACAATCACAGAAAGTAAACTGTCAGTTGCTCTACTCAAAAGCATTCCTCTTTTAATTGGTGGCCCACTTACTTAAAAGCACTCCCCTTTCAATTGGTCGCCCACTTGCTTAAAAGCATTCCCTTTTCAACTGGTGGCCCACTTGCTTAAAAGCATTCCCCTTTCAATTGGTTTCTTTCTAGCTCAAGCCGTCCCTCCCTGGCTGAAAGGCACATTAATTGAATGGCTATTAACGTAATTAGTATTCCAAAAAGTATGCTCAGGAAGACGTGGCTGCAATACTAAAGTAGTATTCCAAAAAGTATGCTCAGGAAGAAGTGGTTGCAATACTAAAGTAGTATTCCAAAAAGTATGCTCATGAGGAAGTGGTTGCAATACAAAAATAGAATTGCAACAATAGGAAGTGGCTGCAATACTAAAGTAGAATTGGGCCCCAAAATTCGCCATTGTTTGGACGTCCCAAAAGTGAGCCTACTTTTTTCCAGCGCCTCCATTGTTTAGGGTTGGGGGGCCCTTATTAATCAAGTGCCAACATTATCCAACTTGAAGGGCACACGCCGACACCTGTCAGAAGATATTTGTCTCATGTTCAGATTGGCAATTTTTATGAGCTATAAACATACTATTAAACATGTGTCATGTATCCTGCAAAAACAGCGTGGCGTACCCTGCTGCAAAAATGACGGGTTTCCGACAGGACATCAAGCATCTGCAGATTGTCCAGCAAATTGAGAGCTACTACAAGTCGTGGCAGGTCGATCAGAAGGCCGAGAAGTGAGCCAATTCCGTTTTCCGTCAAAGCCCCATGGAGTCTTGATGGGACATCGGGGCAGAAAATGCATTCCAGGGGTCTCCTTCCTTCCAACACATTGTGATGTGTTTGCGCGTTTGGTCTCCTTAAGGCGGTGCGGTGTGCTTTTTACGTTGGGTGTGCTTTTTTTGTTGGTTGTGTTTGTGTTTCTTGAATAGGCCAGCGCATTTTCTTTTGGCTGAGAGTCGGCGAGTGCCCGAAAGCCGTGAGATATATTTTTTTCAATCCATGGCCCGTTCTCAAAGCGATTGGAGTTTCAGTTTCCTGGGTCCTCAGCTTCACGCCTTAGCCTCCCCAAGAAACACGTAATTTGCACGTGAGCCACTTACTCAAAACCAAAGGGAAAGTGAAGGTTAGTAGGGGACGATCCCAGCCATAAATAGCTGCGGAATTCCGCCTTCTTAGCTCTGTACAAGGTTCTGGGTCGACCATTTGTTTACCGGGTTTTGATTGTGGCTCACGTGGGGACGTGATACATGTGATACATCAACCGAGGCTGTCCTGCTCATGACTTAAGCAGAGGACTCGCGCAGTCGTTGAGACCCTGTGCTCTTCGGGCAAGTTTGTGCTCAAGGAGGGACATCAATCAGAAAGACAAAGAAGAGGGGCAAGAAGCGGGTACCCATCAATCAGAATAGGCAGACGCACATCGTATCTACCTGTTGTGTCACGTCTCTCTCGCATATCATGCAGAGACCAGGGATAAGGGAAAGCTAATGGCACGGATACAATGTTCACGCTCTTGGAGGGCATATGAGCAACGGGCAATACTACCAGGGCATCTGTTTTGGCTGAGCCCCTAGTTTCCTGTCAGTTTCCAAATATCTTGACCAAAGGAGGCCCCAGGCACAAGTTAAGTCAACGCGCACCGGACAGGCCACAGGCCAGCAGTCCGGTCAGATTGCCAGCGCCAACAAGGACCTCTGCTGCTTCCCCAGAGCGTTGCATTTCATGACATTCTGAAGGGCTGCAACCAGGGTTGAGCAAAATTTGGTGCAAGAGCCAGACCCTAGATTCTTGCTTGTGAAGGGCAGTGTTTGAGCAGCAGATGTTCACATTTGTCCATAGCGGGTGGGTGCAGGAGTTGTTGACTCGTTTTTGCAAGGTGATGGTCAGATCTGGCGGAAGAAACAACGCTGGATTCCCCAGCGGGCAGACCATGGGAGTACAGCAAGTTCGGGTGAGGGTGGGGTGATGGGAGCCTATGAATCAACTGGTTGAGTCATAGGGTCTGTCTTAGGGGCCCTCTTCTTGTCTGGGGCATTAGGGCTGAAGATGAGTCGTGATTAACATAGAGCCTGGGCAGCCAACGGTTTTAGAGGACGCTCCTTTTGGAGGACACCGTTTTTGGCTTCCTTCCGTCCATTTGCAGGAAAGTACTGAGCTGTACTGGCTTGAGCCACAATCAAAAGCCCGGGTAGATGAAGGCTAGTAGGACAATCCCAACCAAGAATGGCTGCGCCCGCCTTCTTAAGTCCTTACATGGTTCTGGGTAGACCATGTTAATACCGGATTTTGATTATGACTTATGCGAGGTGCTGGTAGGATTCCTGCAATGTCTTGTGAAGCTTTAGGTGTTGGGAAGATATATCGACCAAAGTATATTAACCACTCTTGGGAGGGAGCCCAAAAAAGCACTTCTAAAGCACTCATTAAGCCCTTATTAAGGCATTATTTAGGGCTTATTTGGGCTCCCTCCCCCTTCCTCCTTCCCCCCCGGCCCCCCATTAGACATAGAGTTTCGGGACCGAAGCTCGTGGATTCGCCGAGGTAACAGCCTCGCCATTGTGGTGCAGGACAGCTCAGTCCCTTCAATGTGAAGGTAGGTGGTCAGAAGGAAAACGTTGGGACCGGTGTTGAGGGAACAAATGTGAACCGCAGGAAGAAGTCTTATTATGTGTGTTTTTCTTTCTTCCCATGTATTTTTAGTATCTACCTTAGTTAATTGTAAGAAGCCTCAGGCGTTTCCAGCCCTGTTTTTTTGACACCTTTTCCAAAATAGGGGCACCTATGTTTTTTTTTGGGGGGGGAAGAATGAAGCAATAGTTGAAAGGGCTAACCATGTCCTTGATAATCCCTCCATTCTCGGGCGTCAACTGAAGGCAACGGTAGCGACGCCGGTTTTGTAGGTTGGTTGCCATTCACCACCTGTGGATAGTTGTTCAGGGGCGCTGCACACCATTTTGGATTCTGAGAAAAACAATGTGAGGAAGTTGTGCAGCCACAACCATTGCTTTTGGTTGCGGTAACGACCCCTCTGCCAAAAGTGAATAGCCCGTGTGGGTCCAATCCGGGAAATCCCTGCTTTCCCAAAAAGGTCCAAAGATCCAACCAAATAGCCATAAAGTTAGGGGATGATGTCAACCCCGAATGTTGACGTTGACCCCAGATCTAAGTAGAACCCCTGGTTGATTAACAGGGGGGCCGCTTTAGTGGCGATTCATTACTTGCAGGGGGAACGCCCGTATTGATGGGCTGGGTTCATTAGTTGGGGTCAACGGAAAAAAAAGGAGGCATTTTCCCTCTAAAGCCTCTATGCTTGGTGGGCTCCCTGCTAGAAATGGATTCAACCCAAGCAAGCAATCCTTTTTTGCAAGGGTCACTACTGGGTACGGCGGACATGCCCTGATCCAATAACCACTTCTGTATATATATATATGTCTATGGACCCCTACTCAATTGCTGAAGCAACCGGAATTACGATCGAACTTGGTGCAGTTGCCACAGGATCGCGAAAGGACCATTGCAATAATAAAGGACTAAATAAGCTCAAGAGTAGATAAACAAATTCAACATAAAAAAAAATGGATAAATAACTAAATACATATACAAATCAACACAGACATAAACCAATATATATATATATATGCTACAAGTTATGTGAGTATTGTCTAGGTCCCGCAGTAGTGCCCTTTTACCCTTTTTTGGGGAGGGTTCCCCTACTAGAATAGACTACAGAAACAAATATTGGGGATCCTTATTCTAGCCTCTCAAATCTGGAAGACCTAGTTGTAGAACCAGATTTTGACAGGACTTACTGGACATCTTTCCGGACATGGCCTCTGAGATGCGGCACATGCCCGGCGGCTCCTCGGAGAATTACCTCAGAGCCGTTCCGCTGGGCCTTTCCGCGGGAAGCGAAACCATTGGCTGAAATGAATATGTTGTTTAGTTTCCCCTTGTTGGTTTTGAAGGGAAGCGATTTCACTACTGGACATAGTTGTTTTTGCTTTTGTCTAGGGGGCTGACTGAAGCAAAAGCATGGAGTAGAGTCAAGATACATCTGGGGTCTCCTCCCAAACTGGTTCACATTTTAGGGTGGACGAAATATGAAGCAGAATCTGAACATATGATTTTCTGTGTGTCTCAAATGCGCGGGCAAAACATGACACAGACATTTCTTGGTGTCACCGCGACGGTAGATGGCACAGTTCCTTTCAAAGCAAAGGGGGTGATGTTGTACATGTTGGTGATCAACAGTGATGCAGCACCCTGTCACGCCTTATACACTACAACACCTCGCATGTTCATGGGTGACATTGAGTTTCCACCAGAACCATACACGTATATAGTAGGTTATTGAAACTAGATTTTCCCTTCAAAAGGACTTCTGCTGGATGTCATGCTGGTGGGTGCGAGGGTAGTTTCCACAGATAGCTTTGCATAGTGAAGGGTTCCGTTCAATTGTGCGGGTCTGGGTGTGGAGGTCGTGTTCACGACATGTTCTAGAGTTTGCACCCGCTCGCAACGGTCCGCAGCCGATAAGCCCCCGTGCTGTGATTTGCGAGTCGTTTCGCTGCGAAGGCGCAATCTGTTGGAAGGATTCACGTTTGCGCAGCTGTGCTATTGCAATTTGCGCTTCAGGGGTGGTCACTTCGAGGTGTTTTGCCTGGATGCGCGTGCAAACGTTTGCGCGAGCCGTCATGTTTGTTGGCCTTGTCGTGCGATCCGCACGTTTTGGTGAGCAAAAAGTGTTCAACTAGTTTGTCAAGCCTCTGGCGCCACAGTCCCGTGCTAATTTTGGATACTGCGCGCGTGGTAAACGTGTCAAAACTGGAGTTCTTGGCAGGCGCAACATTGTCATCGCGTTTTAATGCGTCGCAAGCCAGCTTTTCGCGACTCTTGGGAGCTCTTTACTGAATTTTTGTGGCAGGCGCAGCGCTTTAGAGCTTTTCGCGCAGCTTGTCTAGCAAGCGCAGTTGGCGTGCAGATTTCGTGGCAGGGCAGCTTGGGAATGTCTTTGGAAGGTGTTTTGGGGGTCTTTAGGGTTGTCTTTGGGGATGTCTTTGTGCTTGTCTGGGCTGATGTCTTTGGGGTGACTTTAGGGTTTTTTGCGCTCGGGTGTCTTTTGCAGGGTGTCTTTCGGAATGCCTGCGCGGTTGTTCCGGGTGATGTGCTCGGGGATGACTTTCGGGACGTTCTTGGAAGGTGTTTTGGGTTGGAGGATGTCGTTGGGAGTGGTTTGTGGTTGTCTTGGGAAGGTCTGTGAGGATGTCTTGGGAAGGTGCCTTGAAGCGCTTCGGGGATGTGGAGTCCAACGACATGTCTTTGTGGTCGTCTGGGCGTGACTTTGGGACGTCTTTGGTTGACGGCTTTAGAGGGATATCGTTGAGTGTCTTGGGACATGGTTGGGGTGATGTCTTTCGGAGTGTCTTTGCGGTTGTGTTGGAGATGTCTTCGGGGATGACTTTGGGGTGTTTTTGAAAGGTGGCTTGGGGGATGTCTTTGGAGGATGTCTGCAGTTGTTTTGGGCGATGTCCCTGGCGATGTCTTTGGAAGGGCTTGGGGGGGGGGTATCTTTGAGGGATGTCTTTGTGGTTGTGTGGTGGTATCTTTGGGCTGACTTGGGAACGTCTTTGTAGGGTTTCGGAATGTCTGCGCGGTTGTCTTTGGTGATGTCTTTGGGCATGTTTGCCGAAGGGGACTTTGGGTGTGTGTGTGTGTGTGTGTTTTTTGGGAGGGTCTTTGGGGGTGTCTTTGCGGAGTTCTTTGGTGATGTTTGGGCTTGGGCGTGACGCTTCGGATGTCTTTGGGAGCTGTCTTGGCGGGATTTTTTTAGGGGTTCCTTGCAGTTGCTTTTGCTGTTGTCTTGGGTGATATATATATATATATATGTATACACAGCAGACATAGGTGTGTATATATATAATATATACACATATTTGGGATGAAACTGGGATGTCTTTGCGGGTATCTTTGAGAATTGTGGGCGGGGAAGTCTGGTGGAATATCTTTGGAGGATGTTCTGGATTTGTCTCTGGGACATACGACGGGGTTTGTTTTGGGGGTGGTTGGGGATGTCTTTGGATTTTCTTTTGGACATGTCTTTGGGAATGCGTGGTTTGAGGATATCATGCTGCTTTCGGGTATGTGTTGTGGAATGTGGTATGGTACTTTTAGGGTGTCTTTCTATTCATATTGCTGGTATCTTTTGGAATGCGTTCGTTGCACGTTTCTTCATTCGAGTTCGTGGCCTCCATCGGGTTTCAATGACGTTGATCGAGCCGAGTGCTGTTTTTGGTGGGTCGGGTTTCCTGGTTGGTGGCTTGGTTGGTGGCTTGGTTCGGCCGCCAGCATCACCGGCCTCTTGGACCACGGGCTGCACATTGGTTCTGATTTGGCAGCAGTTGAGAGTTGTCAGGCTGGTTTAGGTTTTCGGCCAGCTTGGATCTTGCTGAGGACTTGGAGGGTCGCGCAGGGTGTCGGTTGGTTTGGGGTTTATTTAAGCAGTACCTCACGGAACGGATCCCCCTTACCAAATGGACCGAAATTGACCCGCAGTTTAGTCAAACGCCCTGCCAAACACATGTAAAAATTATACTCGTCATATGTGCACACCACAGAAAAACACACTCCCTCGTTTCCCTGGCGGTTAGTTTGCTTGGTGGCTCCCAGCCATCCGGTTCCTTAGCTTTTTAGATCCTTTTAGTGCTTGGTGGTAGTTTCCATTTAACCAACTAAATTATGTTTAAAAGTCAAGCTGTTGGCGGGGGGTCTGAGGGCAGCCCAGTTTGATCCCCATCCCCTTGCCCACATTTCGGCGAGGCGTCCCCGCCTGGACCCAGCGCTCCATGATGAACTTCTTACGGAGCACTGGCGCTCACGCCGCAGATCTGCAGGCACAACCCCTCACGGAGGGTTCAGCAGATGACAAGTGGTCAGGCACGATTGTTCTTCTTTGTCGTGTTGTAGTAGTTTTGTGTCTTTTTTGTTGGTTGTTTGTTGTTTGATGTTTTTTGTTGGGTCCATGTTCAGGTACAGTATCCCCTAGAAACGGTGGTTTGGATTGGGTTAGAGTTGGATTTGAACCCCGGAAAGCCTCCAAATCAGCGATGCAAACCAGCAATTGGAGGGCAGCTGATATGGGGGGCTGTCCAAGAATCTAGGGGCTGCTGCTTCTCCGTTTTCAACCATTCGGTTCCAAATCCGTTTGCAACCATGGGCGTTGGCTGATTTTCTGAAGCATCTCGCGAAAGTGGGCAAGTTCCCTCTGTGACCTCCCAGTGTCAAAACCTTGCTTGAGCTTCGGCCTTTCGGCTCCATGCCATCTGAATTCTGAACTCATTTTCCAAGCTGGCTAAACACGAGCTAGGTGCTTCATGTGCGAGTTCTTCTGGTTTTGGACACGTTTTGTGCCACCAGTTGCCTTGCGAGTCTCAGCGTCCGGTGGGCCTCGGCTTCGGCTTCAGGACCAGCTCTTCTTGCGGCCTGTGCCATGGGGAGGCCCTGGCGGCGGATCCGTGGCTTCCCCAACCGCTACTTTTCAGGGCTAAAATCCCCCAGTAGTGCCCCCGTTCTCAGGCCTTTTTTTGGTTGGGAGCATTCCCCTACTAAAATAGACACCAAAAAGTTGGTAGCCTTGTTCTGAGCTCTCAAATCTGGAGGACCTAGGGGGCTTAAATTGGAGATCCAGCACCACTGTCTAGAGGGTAGCCCGTTTTTCCGGGCTGAGTCGAGCTGAGCTCAGCTGAGCTGAGTTCGATGTTGGACACATTGTTTTCCAGAAAGCCTCGCTGCATCCTCTGACTTGGGTTGACTTCTTGCCATGATAGGCCGGCCATCGAATTCCGTTTTGGAGTCCGAGTCTGAAACGGCAATGTGAAAAAGCAATCGTTGTGTCATTTAGAATTCAAGGAGAATCATTCTTTTATGTAACGACAACTCCCAAAGTAGGCCATTTTCTGAACGCCAATCCTCGAAGATAACGGGTAGGCTGCGAGAAAGTTCCACGGTTTTGTTTGGTTTCAGGGGGCGCCTTTCCAAAATCAACAACATCAATAAAGTTTCCCAGGCAAATTTCATACGCGCACCTTCGAGCCTAGGTTCCTTCTGTTGAAACTGAATCCTTCATCCTGATGCCCGACGGTCGCGGTGGTAGTGCCTCTCTATGGATTACAGCTTAGATCCCACTCCATGGGTTGTTGATTAATCTAGATAAGGCGCTTGCGTGCGCCTTTGGTGCCATTTCACCACTTCTTCCCCCTGTTGGTCCTTTTTTTTTGAAAGCATGTTTGTTAAGAGTTCCTTTAATTTTCTACAGGGGTGGATCCACAAAAACCACAAATCCAAGCCGTTTTCGATTGAGTTCAGCCGGCCCAGAACCGCTTGTCAACAGCACCAGGCTGGCCAGCAACTCGAGCCTCAGCTCTTTGTGATGGGGTGCAACCACCTGATCTGACTGGAGGCTCTAGTGGGTGGTTGGGCAAGGACAGCAAAATGTAGGCATGCTGTTAAGTGGGGTGTAAGCTAGGTTTCCAGGATCCATCTTATCCTTAGTTTGGGGGCAAAAGCTGAGGTTCAGGCACTGACGGGATCCATGACTCTCACCCTTTACCCGGTGCAAAGCCCTATCATGGGCTCACGGAAAGGGGGGTTTGTCAAGACCGGGGGAGAAGGAAACACCAACAAAAGGTGTCCCTTTGCTTTCCTAAGCAGCAAGCAAATGAAACAGATCCCCACTTGGTCTCACCCAGCGTTGGCGGCGACTGTCCTTTCTGTAGACGGTCGGATGACACGCAAGCGCCAAACAAAGATCGCCCAGGATGACGCGTTGATGGCATCATTGGCAGACTGGCAACAATTGCGAGTTTCTTACTCGAACAGACGACACCAAAGCAAATAAGCAAGTATCATACAGTATGATGCAGAAATGCACGCATCAAGTTCTGCCGGTCCCCTTGTTCCATTTGCCCATTGGCTTCCACTTGGCGTGGTGATATGCTTCGCGCTGCTCAACATGTAGACGCAAAGACATCCCAAAGCGCCAAAGCGCCCTATTGGCCGCAAGGACACATCGGGTGGCCACATCATGTGGCCTCGGGAATGTGCAAAAGATAGGCACCCCATCGAATGGATGGTTTCATATTTCCTGGGGCCTCAATTGTCTCCTTCGTTCTGCCTTCAGCACGCGAAAAGGGCAAACACGGGTGGTAGGCGCAACTGGGACCTTGAAGGAGGACCGAGCAACCAAGGTCCAACATGGACTTTCTTGTTGGCCTTTGGTTACATTTGCTTCGTTGACCTTTCCATGGTTTGAAGAGTTGGATTTTCTGTGAGTTTTCTGAAAACCAGCTTGCAAGTCTGGCGAATCTGCTTCTGCAGTGTTCCCATTTTGTCTAAATAAAGTTCAATGCTTTGCAAACTGAAATGAGTTTGTGGCAGTTAACTTCATTAAAAGTGAGCTCCTTTGGCCTCCAAGTCATCTCCTTGCAATAAGACCAGAGCATGTTCATATGCATATACTATGCTTGTAATGGCTGTTTTGGCCTTCGTGCAGAGAGCCCAGCAAAACTCTATGCGTGCCTTTGAGGCCCGAAAGATTCGGAGGCCCGCACACGAAAGTCAGTGACAAGAGTGCGGTTCGTTTGGGGAGGACATGGGGGTCCCGGCCCCCCGAATGTTCCAATCAATCCGTGACTGTGCCCAGTCTTTGCCCCATGCTTTTCGGAAGCAAACACTTTGGTTTGGAGAGAGAGAGGCGACCTTCCAGGGGGGTCAATGCCGAGTTTAACTGGTCGCATGTCGCATGGATTTGGGAATTGCCTGGAACCTGCAAGAAACGTTTACAAATGGTGGTTTCTCAAACTGCATGCCTCTTGTTCATCACGCAGGTGTTCACAGGTCATGGTTGTTTTGGAAACCGCAATTGTAAACGCTTGTTGCAGGTTCCAGGTTAACAACAATCAATGATAATTGCAATCAGACAGCCGGAAGGATGGGGCTGAATGTCCACTGACTTCCTGAGCTCATGGACTTTAGTCACTTTTTGGTAAGCCATTTGTGTGGCAACTACAAAGTATTGGACTCTTTTTGGGCCATCTACTCAAGAGGAGTGAGGATAACTTTGAACAGAACGCCAGGATGACCGAGAGAACTTGGCGGACTTCTATGTTTGAACCAACATGGCCTCAAAGTCTGAAAGCAGCCCGAAGTCGAAGCCTTGGCATGGTTGGGCAGTAAGTTATAAGTTATGCAAGTGTTTAATTCTAACTGACCAAATGGAACACCTGTTTGTTTGTATATGCCTTCTGTAATTTTGCCGCACCAGTTGGCATGGATTAACCCCTATAAGTACTGGATAAACCAGCCAGTGTGTGCATGATCCATCAGCATCTCAGGTTTATTCAGCTTCCTGAGGCCCCGAGATCCTGCGATCCTGGACTTTAGTCGCTTCGAGTTTGGACCATTTTAGTGGCAGACAACTCAAATGCCAACATTACTCACTTCCCGCGTTCCGTTTCGGACTTTAGTCACTTTTTGGGTTTGGAGTGGTCAACAGCAAGTTTGGTTACTTTTGTTGGCCGATCGGCTCAGGAAACGAGATTCAAGGGCTACTTCCGTGTTGGATTCGCCATTCCTGTTTCCAGGATGTGTTCTCTGGCCAATCTACTCGATCGGAAGTGAGGCTTCGACTGTTTGCTTCATTTGGTCCAAGCCGCAGGTATCTGGGCCAAGCCAGCTTCACCATTTTTCCTCGGGATCCTTCCTTTCAGGAAATCATCCAAACTGCAGGGGAAACAGCTGGCTTTCGACAAGAAGGATGCTTGACTCCATGAAACCATCAAAACTGAGGGGAAACCGCTGGCTTTCGAAAAGAACCATGCTTGAACAACACATGGGGCTTGACTCCATCGGTTCAGATTTCTTCAGCTTCAGATTTCATTGGTCCAAGCCCACGGACCAAACCTCAGCCGTGTCCCGGCAAAACTTGTCTGCAGGTTCGCGCCTCAGCGAGCCGAAGATCCGAGAAGCGCGCAGAGATGCCAGCGGATACTCCTCCTGGCAGGGGGCGCCTCGGATGTGGAGCGTCGGGAAGATGCAAGCAAAGCACACAAGCAAAGACAGACAGACAGGCAGGCAGGCAGGCAGGCAGACAGACAGGCACAAAGAAAGAAAGAAAGAAAGAAAGAAAGAAAGAAAGAAAGAAAGCAAGGAAGGAAGGAAGGAAGAAAGAAAGAAATAAAGAAACAAAGGCAACAAATACAGCAAACAAGAGCACAAGAAAGAAACAAACAAACAAGCAGGCAAGCAAAGGAACAAAGAAACGTTCATCCTCGTTCGGATGGTTGGTCGACACGAAACCACAATCAAATGAGGAATAGTTTCCAATTACAGCTTACCAAATGAACAACGCGAAGCGTTCAGTTCTATTTGGGGGGGGGGGTCTCAAAATGGGGGAATCCCCCCACCCCGAAAAAAAAGAAGAAGAACAAGTAAACATCTCGGCAGTTTTCCTGGCTGCTCTTAAGACAAAAGGGAAGCTGAAATAACATATTTTCTCATGCCCCTTTTTGCATTTGGGAAGGTTCCACAACGCCATCGCCTCATTTTCAGTGTTGCAAGGAGACATGAACCCGGTCGAAATATGCGGTTCCTGGCGAGGGACATCGGATTCGCAAGTGCCTGGGCTTGTGTGCTAGATTTGGTGCCCGGATCACAATTGGTTCCTCCAAACCGGTTTGTTCAGTCATTGGAGGCCAGAGGTCGCGAGTTTCAGGGTGAGTCTCTGGCCCCAAGCTATTTTGACTGGACCTTGTCAGAGTCTCGGTCAGCAGACTTGGTGGTTGGGCCCCATATCCTCCCCCCTTGCAGAAGATGTTGTTACACATTGCATGATTTGTCAGCCCTTGGTTGTGCAATCCCCGTTTGCTTCCCATGAAGGCCCCTCTCCGGTGTTGCGCCCCAACCACTTTAAATATGGTTGTTGTGCTCTAAGAGGGCCGTGGTCTAGTTGCTTGATTCGCCTCACCCTGTTCGGCATTCCCTTTGCGGGCTAAAGGCAACTCTCAGAGCTTGTCATGCCTTTCCAGGCTACACCGCGGCAAATATTGGAGGCGATTGAGGCGTCTGGCAGGCTAGCGTGGATCGTGTTTATCTTCATGCGCTGAAAAAAAGGCGGTCTCAAGAAAGAAGCCCTGGAATCGCTCAAACCGGTGTTTCTCCTTTCTTTCGATTGGATAAGACATTTGAAGAGGGGGCGCTGCCCGCATCAGCTGGCCTTTTCGGGGTTTGGGGCCTTCGGAAACTTGGCAAAAATCAGGAGAGGGGACGCCAGCGGGTATACATTGCTGCCCACTTGGGATTCAAAAAGCAACGCACTTCTTGTACTGTACTCAATGCATGGTTGTTGTTGGGAAGCATCTTACATGTTTGATTATTGTCAATTATTAGTGGTTGAAATCCAACCACTGAACTCCTCAAATTTGAGAGTTTTTGCTCCCCCGCCGTCAACCAATGGCCAATGAGACAAGGTGTCAAATCGCGACGGGCCCCTTGGTCAATCAAGGCTAACTTCGAGGCCGGGCAGCCCAAGTTACTCTTGCTCTAGTTGGGGTCACTCCAAATACACGAGCTCGTGTGCCCTTTTGGGGGACCAAATCCAAAATGGTTTCGGGTTCCTCTTGGTTTCCCTGTGAAAGGCAATGTGGTAAGGAAGAAAAAACTTCCCTTCCCATTTTTTGGTGCCGGACTGGCGTCGTCTTCGGTTTATTTCCCAATCCAAGCCGTGAAATGGGGTCTGGTGACTAGTACCTTACCCACGGATGTGACGAGCTGATTTGACGAACTGTTTCTCGCGAACCAACCTTTGCAAAGATTAAGCAAAATAAAATGTGCCACTTCTCAGAATTATAAGTTGCGCGTGTGGCAGGTCTTACACGACGTCAAAGTTTTGCCCAACAGACTTGTGATTTGCACAATGCAGCTCCTATGCGCAGAAGGAGTGGGCTTCGTGTGGAAGGACAATTGCGGGGAGATCGTATGTTTGCCTGTGTGCCACTCAATCGGTGCCAAAGAGCCACCCGGCTTTGCCGGTCTTCATCTATGCTCCGGCGGTGTCAGTTCTGGCGTCAAACGGTGCAACGGTCGAGCTTTGGGGCACATCAAGCCCCATTGCATTCTGGATCATCAACTGCAACTACTCAGACCCGAAAACCAACTGACAGCAATTGCGGATACATATATATATATATACATACGCATAATGAGGAGTTCACGTTGTTGGAGCTGGTTGATACCAGGCCAGGAAGCTCAAGCTGCTTAACTTACATCATCTCCTTGTTGCTTTCCTGTTTTACAGTGAGGTACCCCCGAGCAAGGGGCCGTTGATTGAGTGAGGTCGTTTTAAAACGCAGCTCGTCATCAATGCATCCATGAAGATAGATGTTCCTTAAGTACGTCTCGCTTGGGAGTCCAGAAGTGAAGCTCCCAAAGTGGTTGTTTTAAACGTCTGCACGCGCCCGGGCATGCATTGACGCGTTGCAAGTAGGCTTGCCTGTTCATCTGCAACGAAAGGACAACACCAAAGATCGCGATTTTCGAGATTCCTTATTTTCGGTTTGCAAGGGTTTACTGATTTCACCAGATCCAAGGACCTTACCGCGAAATAGGCAGCAGAAATAAGCGGAAGTCCCTTTCTTCCCAATGTTCATGTTCGGATGCGGGGGGGATTTCTCAGAGTTCGACCGAACTTCCAGCGACGCATGAGTCACATGAGTCTTGATGTTTTTTGTATGTGCGGGTACCCCCTGGTTTGGGCAGGGCTCCTCAAAAGATACATTTTGCCCATTTGAAACATGGCGCTTTTTCAACACCCACATAAAGTTGGAAACCACCATTTACAAGTTGCAATGTTCAGGTGTATAATGTAAGGATCCCTGCTGCACCCCTGTGACTACACCCTAGGCAACTAACAATGCACAGTGCGGGATGATCACTCGCCAAAGATATTTGTGCGGCTCTCCATGTTCGCCTCGAGGTATGGCAATATCGTCCCAAGCAGA